TATTCTGAAGGGGAAGGGGAGTTAAGCGGCCCTTGCTGGGGAGTAGCTGCCCCCATTCCAGTTGACCCCCCCAACCTTTCCGAAGCGGCAGCGGCCGCTCTTTGTTCTGCTTTATACTGCAGCAGGGCATTAGCGACTGCCCGCCACGGCTTCATTAACTTTTTGGCTGATTTATTATCGCTTATCACTTCGTCAAACAATTTATCTCCAAATTTACGCCATTCCTCGTGTTCAAAAACTGTATCTGGGTTATCAAAACAACCTCTCGCTACCCCATACGCTAATAAATCAGGCAACTCCTTTTTACAGTCTATACCTTGAATGCTCCACTTTTCTAAAAAGCATTTCAGCAAACTTCTTTTTACAATCTATACCCTGAACGTTCCGCTTTTCTAAAAAGCATTTGAGGAAGTCATACGTCGCTTGTCTATCCATACCTTCGTCAGCGCTGTTGCAGCCTTTGCAAGACCTCGGCGACGCGTGGCCGGCGGGACCCTCTATAGGTGCTCCCGAGCGCGGGGATTTCCCTTTCGCCTTCATGGGACCCTCTATAGGTGCTCCCGAGCGCGGGGATTTCCCTTTCGCCTTCATGGGACCCTCTATAGGTGCTCCCGAGCGCGGGGATTTCCCTTTCGCCTTCATGGGACCCTCTATAGGTGCTCCCGAGCGCGGGGATTTCCCTTTCGCCTTCATGGGACCCTCTATAGGTGCTCCCGAGCGCGGGGATTTCCCTTTCGCCTTCATGGGACCCTCTATAGGTGCTCCCGAGCGCGGGGATTTCCCTTTCGCCTTCATGGGACCCTCTATAGGTGCTCCCGGGCACGGGGATTCGTCCCTTTTGCCTCCTGCGCTGCTTACAGGACCAGTACCCGGGCTCCGCTGAACCGTGGCTCGCAGGTTCAGCCCTCTATAGGGTCCCTGTTCACAGGTCCAGCCCTCTATAGGGTCCTGGTCCCCGTTCGGGCGCCATTTGTCGCAATGGAGGGAAGACATGAGCACTCAATATGAGTGATCAGCAAGCTTCGTCTATTTAGACACACTATCATTCTTTTATGCACACTCATAATTAGCTCATACATATTGCAAAATGAGAGCTCATTATTGGTTAGTTCTAAAAAGACAGTTCTGCCCATAATTCCTTTCTTATGGTTACATGTTTACCTTATCATAGACATTCTGTTGTTGGACCACATCTGCCTTCAAGGCCAGAGCGTCCTTACTGTTGTTGGGAGCTAGATAAACTGAGTACGGTGCTTATTGAGCTCTTGCTGGACTAGCTG